GTGGCTTAGTGGTTGAGTGCTCCAGGGTTCAATCCCCAGTACCAAAAAAAAAAAAAAAAAAAAAAAAAAAGATAGTGGATTACACAAGGCTGTGAATCATTGCTGATAATTTTAGAGTAATATAGTTTTCAGTTTCTTCTTATTTTTTTGTTGCTAGACATGGAACCCACAAATGCTGAGTCTGTACTCTACCTCTGAGTTACACCCCCAGACTAATATCTTTATTTTTAAAAAATAATTTATTTATTAAATTTTTTAGTTGTAGATGAACACAACACCTCTATTTTATTTATTTTTATTTGATGCTGAGGATTGAAACCAGTGCCTCACACATGCTGGGCAGGTGCTCTACCACTGAGCTACAACAACAGCCCTCTATCTTTTTTATAATGCATGTGGATTACTTTAGCCTTTATTTATTTATTTTTTGTGTGGTGCTGAGGATTGAACCCAGGGCCTCGAACGTGCTAGGCAAGCGATCTGCCACTAAGTCACAGCCCCAGACCTGGATTAGATGAAAGATAGAAGTGCTGGTGCATAAAGTCTTTTTTTTCTCATGAGTCTCCACTGAAAGGAGGCTGAATGAAACTGTCAGCTAAATCTCTACTATAAAGACAGTCAGAGCTCCCTGGGGCTGTTACTTATGACAGTTGTGGTGCAGGATGCTGGCTTCATGCCAACGTGTAGTGAAAGTAATTCTGAAAGTAGCCAGAAATGAAAGAATGAAAGGGCAGTTTTTGGCAGAGGAATCAAAATTTAAAATTCACTCATGGCATTTGTATGATGAGTTGATTTAATTTGGGTGCTACATTTGGATCTTCAATGTCCTCCCAAGGCCTTTATGCTAAAGGCTTAGTCCCTGCGCTAGGGGAGTATGAAGCAGTGGAGTACTTGTCTAGATTTGCGAAGCCCTGGATTTGACCCCAGCACTGCAAAAACAAAACGAAACCAACAACAAAGAAATATACAAAGGCTTAGTCTCCAGCCTGAAGCATTTGGAAAGTAGTGGAACTGTTTAATAGGTAGGGCCTAACGGGAAGTCTTCTGGTCATTAGGAACATGCCTTTGAAGAGGGAAATGGGACCCTCTCATTCCTCCTCTATCTTCTCTTACATCCTGGTCATAAGGCGAATAGCTTTACTCCACTACATTCTCTCTGCCCTAATTTATCAGAAATTGATTACCTATGGTATTTTGTTACAGTAACTGAAAACTGACTAATACACTGGAGTTCATAGACATGCTTTGGATGGGTCTTTCCATGAACCCCCTAAAACATGCAAAATTGTTTATATATATGTACTCCCTTGAGGAGTGAGGTACTTTGGTTCCATTGTTTCTGACTTTAAAAGATGGAAGAATTATTGCTCTGTAGCAGGGTTTTTTTTTGTTTGTTTTTACTTTGGCTTTATTGTCACTTTGATCTGGATAGGTCTTTGTTGTTTGTGTGGTGGTATCATGTGCATTTTAGGTTGTAATGGCACATCTAGCTTTTATCTGTAGAAGGCAGGAACATCCAGTTGTGACCATCAAAACAGTCTTTAGACATGGCCAAATGTCACCTATGGGACAGAGATCACCTTTGAGAATCCCTGAGCTTCTGAAGATTGGAGGAACAAAATGTAAATCAGGTGAGATATGGATTAAACTAGTCCTAGATACAAACTGCGACATAACTATAATCATAATTTACCCAAATTACAATTTTGGGTAAATGACTTTATTTCAGCCTTATCTAGTTTCTTGACATATAAACTGATAATATCCAAAAATCATCCCCTGCTACACCCTAGCACTAGGTGATGGAACTCAGGATCTCACATGTTAGGCAAGCACTCTGCTACTGAGCTAAATCCTAACCTGTTTTGTTTTTATTTTGAGACAAGGTCTAAGTTGCCCAGGCTATTCTCAAACTTTAAATCCTCCTGTCTCATCCTCCACAGCAGTAGCTCAACTAGGTGTGTCAGTAAGGGATTTCTGGGTAACTGGGATTACAGATGTGCACCATCATGCCAATAGGATTTTTAAAGCATGCAGAACACTTCACATTTTTTTTTTTTTTTTTTTGTACCAGGGATTGAACTCAAGGGTGCTTAACCATTGACCCACAGCCTCAGCCCATTTTTTTTTTTTTTTTTTTTTGAGACAGGTCTTGGTAAGTTGCTCAGGGCCTTGCTAAATTGCTGATGCTGGCTTTGAATCTGTGATCTTCCTGCTTTAGCCTCTCGAGCCGCTGGGATTATAGGCGTGCTCCATCATGCCTAGCTACTTCACAGGGTTTTGTATGGTAAGCAATTATATATAATCACTATTAATATTGTCCAGACCACAGCTGAGACTGTAACCATTTCCTCACATCTTTCCCTCATTCATTCCAGAGATATTTATTATGTGGTATCTGTATCAGATTTTGATGTGCTCAACCTGAATTATTCATGAGARGGATCACTTGAGCCTAGGAGTTCAAAGGCAGCCTGGGCCGCATAATGAGAGCCTGTCAAAAAAAAAAAAAAATCAACACACATACATAAAATAAATAAGTAATCCCCACCCCCAAAATTATTCTTCAGTCTCTACCTGGTAACTATTATGTATTTTTTATTCTTTGTAAAGGGAATTTTAAATATCAATATGATTTTTCATCATATCTATTTTTATTCTTGGCCCTCCTTTATGAGATCCAGAACCTTCCTGGACGTCCTCCAGGAATTTTGAATTGGGTATGTTTTGCCAATTAGCTCAGCAACTAGCACTTAGTCTTCTATAAAAATGAGTGGTTACTGGTCACTGATGTTTCTTAGCCCCTGCTGTTTGATCCACTTTTTTTTTTTTTTTGCTGCTCCTCAGTGGTTTCTCAAATTCACTTATTTTCTGACAGCCTCCTTGGCCCTGGGTTAAAAGACCTGATTTTTCTTCCCCGTGGGGAGCCCAGAGGAGAATTCAGCCTGGTTCTCCTACCTGCAGGGAAAAATTGAAGGCATGAAAATGAAGACACTCCTACCAAGTCCTAACTAAGTCCATAGTTCCCTGAGCAGTTTGGTGGCAGGAATTTGCTAGTGGTATGAAGGACATAAAGTTTTGCAATAGCAGCCTCCATTGGGTATGCCAGTAAATGATTCCTGGGGTCCTGACTGGTGCTTCCTGGCACTGCGGGGGTGCAGAACTGAGGTTGACGGTGTCTTAAAGCTACAGGTGGAAGAATTTAGAAGCCTCAATCAGGGCAGCACAGTGGGTAATATCAGCAGGCTCTGGTGGGGTAGACCTGGGTTTGAACCCTAACTTTGCCTCCTATTCTAGGTGATAGTCTGCAAGAGACTCTATTATGCTGAGCCTCAATTTCTTCATCTATAGAGTAAGGATGATGCTACCACAACTAACACTTCTGGAGTGTTACAATTCAGTCAGAACACATGCAAGTTGTCTCTGTTCCACCACTAAAAGCTGTTTTAAAATTGAATTAAAGCTGAGTCTAGTGGTCCAAGGATGTAATCTCAGATACTCAGGAAACTGAGGCAGAAGGATCACTTGAGCCAAGGAGTTCTGGGTTAGCCTGGAAAACATAGCAAGATTCTATCTAAAAATTAAAAAAACAATTTTTTTTTAAAAAATATAGAAAAGCATTCCCTTCTTATTCACGTTATATCCCTTGATGACGTTGAAAAATACACTTGCACATGGTTAAAAACAAATCATACAGGGTGTAACATGAAATACACTTCTTTTTTTTTTTAAACCAGGAATTGAACCCAGAAGTGCTTAACCATTGAGCCACATCCCTAGCCCCCTTCCCACCCCCACCCCACCCCCCTTTTTTTTGAGACAGGGTCTCACTATGTTACCTAGGGCCTCGCTAAATTGCGAGGCTGGCTTTGAATTTGCGGTCCTCATGATATATATTTTCATTTCCCGTCCCCCACTTTTTTTTTTTTTAAACTGGGAATTGAACTCAGGGGGCTTTATCTACATCCCCAGCCCTTTTTATTTGTTTTATTTATTTTTGAGATGGAGTCTCAATAAGTTGTTCGGGCTTGCGTTAGTTGCTGAGTCTGGCTTCGAATTTGAGATACTCCTGTCTCCTGTAATCCCAGCCTCCTCCAGAGCGGCCGGGATTACAGGTGTGCGCCACCCCGCCAGCCTTCCCACCCTTTTTGTTCTACAAACAGAGCAATTTAATAGAATTCAACCTAGTATGTGCCAGTTTCTGCTCGAAGGCTTCATATGTAACTAAACACTCTTAAATTCATCTGCTCCATGAAGTAGATACAGTCATTACTCCCCTTTGGCAACTGTAATTCTTTTACAGAGAAGCAGAAGGATCAGGCGGGAAAGGGCCGGCAACCTACTAGGCCTCCAGAAGGGTTGTAAAAGTTTGACAAACATAGAAGTGAGTAAGTCGTTAAGTGCTACATAGAAATATTCGCCGGGTGTCAGAAACGCGCTCCCTTGGGGCGCCGCTTACGGCGCATACTTTGTTGGACCGCAGTATCTCTTTGATCTGGGAGCGACTCATTCCAGAGCCGCAGGGACTAGTCTCTACCTGGGTTCCCGGGAAAGGCGCGCAGCGTTCCGCCGTCTCAACCAGTCTTGCTAGAGTAGGCGGGCCCTCTAGGAACAAAAGCGTTCGGAGTGACTGCTGCTGTAGCCACTCAACGCTGAGCATAGGTCAGCACCTCCCGGCAGAGTTAAACTTCCAATTGGTGGAGTCGCCCTAAAAGAGGCGGGACGAAGTTAAAGTCCTGTTTYCTTTGGAGTTCTCAACCAATCAAGGCGTCTGGGAAAGAACTGACGAGTTAGGTTGAGACGTGTGTAGCGTTCGGGGAGGCCTGAGGGCGGGGCGGGGAGCAGGCTGGGAGCTGCGGGCCGGGTACGCTTCTCGCGGGCGCGCGGAGCGAGGACGGTGACAGCCACGCGCGCGCGTGCGTGCCCTGCTGCGGCGCGGCCCCGCGACCCCCGTCGGCAGCCCAGAGGCGCGCCGGGTCTGGGCGGCCGCTGTCTAGGATTCTTGTTCCCGGGCGTGCCCGGCGTCCCCGACCCCAGTCTCGGAGTGTCGGGCCTCGCCCGCCCCGTCTTCTCCTGCTAGCGTCTGCCCCTTGTCGCCGTCAGGGCCTGCCCCCCAACTCCCCTTTTTCGCTCTGGGGGCAGGGTCCTCGCGGCCCATGCTGGCCGCTGGGGACCCACGCAACCCAGCTCGCTCTTGGGCCGGCCAGCCGGCCACCATGGTGGCCCTGAGGCCTGTGCAACTCCTCCAGGGGGGCTAACAGGTCCAGAGCACAGGCTTTGGGGCGCGAGGGTCCCAGGCCTGAGCCCCGCGCCATGGCCGGGGCCATCGCTTCCCGCATGAGCTTCAGCTCGCTCAAGAGGAAGCAGCCCAAGACGTTCACAGTGCGGATCGTCACCATGGACGCCGAGATGGAGTTCAATTGCGAGGTAACTGGCCAGTAGCCCCGACGGGCTGAGGCGAAGGGAGCCCCGCTGAGTCCCCGCATCCGGCACCTACTGGGGAGCCCGGGTCGCGGTGACAGTCGAGATGGAAGCTTGAGGGATTCTGTTTTATTCTCCTCTGGCATTGATAGAGACCGTGAGAACCGGAAGGGGCCATACAGGCCCAAATCCACAAGTTAAAGCTAATTACTGCTTTTTCGCTTGGGGCTCTTTCGCTTGGGGTTTAGCATTTCTAAGGGTTATTTTCATTCATTGTTATTGGTGGAGGCTGGAAGCTTCCGTGGTAGAGAATTCTGGTTTACAGTGTCAGGTTTTAACTTAAACTCAAGGGAGTTGTCCCCACCCCAGGTAATGTTATAGATCCCAGGTATTAAAAGTTAAAACTTCGTTATTGGAAAGTCTATACTTGCTCCCTTTTCCAAACTGGAAAAGATTTTATTTATATATATATATAATTTTGTATTGGAAACTTAACCGGGGCGCTTTACTACTGAGCTACATCCCCAGCCTTTTTTTTTTTTTTTTTTTTAATTGAAACAAGGTATCACTAAGTTACTTAGGGCCTCACTAAATTGCTGAGGCTGGTCTTGAATTTGTAATCATCCTGCCTCAAACTATTTAGCCTGGGACTACCGTAGGGCAAAACCAGCAAACAAACAAAAAGCTCAAAAAGCTCTTTAAGAGAGAGTACCTAATACTTTCCATACAGTGTCCAGCCTGATATAACAACTATCACTTTGTTGAAGGGTCAGGTACTCACTTTTTTTTTTTTTTTTTTTGTACTGGAGATTAAACCCAAGGGCTTAACCACTGAATCACATGTCACATGCCCAGCCCTTTTTATTTTTTAATTTTGAGAGAGGATGTAGCTGGGTTGTTTAGGGCCTTGCTAAATTGCTGAGGTTGGCTTTGAATTTGTGATCCTCCTGCCTCAGCCTCCTGAATTGCTGGGATTATGGGTGTTTGCCACCGCTGACATTCATACTTTAACCTTCACAATAACTCAGTGAGGCAGGTACCTGTAACATTGTAGAATATGTATTTGGTCTGATTTCCTGGCATACCACAACTAAAATCTTTGGAATCTCTGAAGTGATAAGTGGCTTTTTGTATGGTAATGAATTGACTAGGTAGCTCCTATCTTGATAGGAGCTGATCACAAGAAAGACCAAGAAACCATTAGAGGGTTGGAGTTTTTCAGCTCCACCTAACCTGGAGGAGGGGAGAGGGGCTAAAGGTATTTGGCTAAAGATGTAATTAATCATTCTTGTGTAATGAAGCCTCCATAACCCCCTAAAAGAACAGGATGTATAGAGCTTCCAAATCTTCAGCTTCCAGCTGAAGCTGCAAGGGGTTCCTAGGAGGTGGTGTCCTACCTAGGAAAGGGCATGGAAGCTCTGTGCCTCTTCCCACGTCTTGTGTTTTTTCATCTGTTGCCCTTACAATATCCTTTTTAATAAATAGGTAAACATAAATGTTTCCCAGAGATTGGTGAAGTACACAGTACACCCCAAAGAGAGGTGGTGTGAACTCTGATTTATATCTGATTGGTCTGAAGCACAGGTAGAACATCCTGGGGCCAGGAGCAGTGGTGAACACCTGTAATCCCAGCATCTCAGGAGGCTGAGGCAGGAGGATCACGAATTCAAAGCCAGTCTTAGCAAAAGCGAGGCRTGCTAAGCAACTCAGTGAGACTGTCTCTAAATAAAATACAAAATAGGGCAGGGATGTGGCTCAGTTTTTGAGTGTCCTTGAGTTCAATCCCCAGTACCAAAAACAAACAAACAAAAAAATTCAGGGGCAAGTGATTGGCTACTATGGGGGAGACAGTCTGTGGGACTGAGACCTCAACCTGTGGGATCTGAATTGCCTCTAGATTGAGTTCTCTAGGTAAACAATATCAGGATCGAATTGAATTAGAGGACATCCAGCTGGTGTCTGCTGCAGAAAAGAATTGACTAATTGATTAGTTACTCATGAGGGAAATCCCGACAAACACACACCACAC